TTTTTATATTTAAAATAAGATGTTTATCCTGTATTTGATTGTGTTTATCTGCAGTTAGTTACACGAATTCAGTTATGGGATGAAATCGAATAGGGATGAACGGGTTTAAGAGTTTTAAGAGTTTAAGAGTTTTTAAGAGTTTTAGCCAAATGCATTATAATATAGTATAGATTAAGAGTTTTTAAGAGTTTTAGCCAAATGCATTATAATATAGTATAGATATACAATTATGTGTATTAATATAGTAAATATGTAAATGAAAAGTGAAAAAACAAGGGATAAAAGTAAATTAAATAATTAATTATAAATGTGTAAAGTGTAAAAAAATAATCAGTTAGAACTTTACGTAAAGTCACCTTTTTTGGGTAAACTCATTTTTTTAAATTAGAAGGGTACCCGCACAATGTAGCGAGATATATCTTGATTTTAACGTTTCGTTTTATATTTTGATTCTATCGATGTAATAATGTGATTTTATGTGGTTTTGAGAAAACGAAAATATTTTTGTTTTTGAATGAAATATAAATTTAAAGATATTTTGAAATTTTGAAAAAATAGGCGATATTAGTATCAAATTAACTAATTAAAAGTTCTCGTTTTTATGTAAATTTTTTTTAATTCAATTTCTTATTATAATTTAATTGAAGTTTAAAAACGAACTAACTTATTTTTGGTTTAATAAAATAATTTTTTTAAGATAATAATTAAGTAATATGTTAGAACTCAATGATTATTTTAATTATATTTTAGATTTTTTATATTTAAAATAATGTTTATCATATATTTGATTATGTTTATCTGCAGTTAGTTACACGAATCCAACATGAAGCTTTAATAAGATGTACCCATGCACATCCTACTTGTAATCTTGAATTTTAAGTAATATGTATTAATAAATAGTACTTTATGCATAAAAAATTGTTTTTAAGAGTTTTATCTAAATGCTTTATAATATAGTATAAATATTTTTCTTCTTCTTTTTCTCTTAAAATATATTATACGCAGAAAATTCTTTTTTTACATAAAGTTTTTTTTTCGTAAATTTTGGTTATTTGGGAGAAAAGGGTTTCTAAGAAAGCTAAAAAGCGAAATCACTTTTAATGGATTGCTATATCTGTAAATTTCCCCTGTTACGGATGTAAAAAATTTGAATAACTTATTTTGACTCAAATTTAGTTGGAGTCAAATGGTTCGGTTAATGGAATAAAAATATTTTTTTAATTTGATTTTTAGATAATATTTTTATTAATTCAGTTAAGCCGAATAAGAATAAGACGTTAAATTATTATTTTATATTTTTATAAAAAATAAGTTGAATAACACATTGTATTGTTATTGTTTTACATATTTTATTGTTAGACAGTGTTTTTTGTATCATGTTTTTTATCTGATAAGGTTCTTTGCTTGATAATGTGTTTGTTTGCTTAGATTTAGAATCCCACGAAGATATTATGTTTTGTTAGATAATATTGTTAAGAACTGTTTGATTAAAATAAAATAAAAATTTGAAAAGTTGTCCCACATCGATGGAGCAATGAAAAGTGAAACAAATTTCATGCCTATAAAAAAAGGGGGGGGGGTCCAAATCTTAAGTTTTAAATTAAAGAAAATTACGAGACCAACCAAAATACTGAAAAAGTCCCTCTAAATGGTGGAATTCGGCTAAATACATGCAACGACCCTAAAATTTCCAAAAAAATACGACTGGCGTATATCTTGACATTTTATAATTAAATATGAAGCTTATACCTATAACAGGGGAAGTATGGGAGAAGGTTAGAAATAACAAATAGAATTAAAGTTAACAACCTACTAGTTTAATTCGGAATTGAACTCCATTTTTTTTATTAACCTGGATATCCAACCCGCTATGCGAGCCGACTAATCCCAACACGACCACCTACTTTGCAGATAGCCGGAGTCACCGCATTTGAACCTCTGTGGCCACAAGTGGCTTTTTATTCCTTCTTAGATTTGAACCTGGGACATTCTGGTACTTTTGACCTTTGGAACCAAGTTCAAACCAATCAGGCACCACCCTTGTGGTTGGGATTGAACTCGATTATGACCGGGTGTTATTAAATCCTCAAAGGTTTGCCTTTATCACTCGAGATGACCCAAACGTCACATCTGAAACATCTTTAGATCCGCCACTAATGGGACTTGATATACATGTCATTAAAAAAAGTGTTAAGCTTGCGCCTCGTGAGTTCACACCGTTATATTTAAAACGATAAGCCAATCATATATAGAAAGATGTAGAAAAATAAAGTTACCCAGAAATGGTAATAGTTGAATATAGGGATATAATCTCCCAAAATAGTCAACCCTGACAGTTTACACACGTAACATCTTTCGATCACGGGAGAAATCAATTTCCATTACATGTGACGGGAACACAAAAGTATTGTCATTTATCAATATTTATCAGGATTACACCTCAGATTCTATGATTTTAGGGCATACCTAGTATGACATCACCTCAAATCCTCAAATATCTTTAGCGTCTACTCCTAAGAGTTCTACCTCAAGGTTAATGAAGCATAGTGCACGCCTATAAAGCTTTTTCTCATTCATGTAAAATATAATGGGCATAATTGAAAAGGTGAAAACGTTGTAAAAATAGTTTTTAAAAAAATTAAATTCTGACTCGTCACGAAACATTTAAAATAAGTTCAATCTTGCATCATGCATTTGTAACACATGCATAAATAGTTGTACCTATAATCAATTGAGCACCCATATACATTTTGGTATATCAATGTATATACATTCAACTACACACCCTCACCTTTACACTGGGCCCATTATGTTATAGCCAACAATTTGTTCAACTCAACTGTGTTTGGTTGGGTTAGCCAAGAACCAGGGACCATGGCTCCAACCGTCAGTAAAGGTGCACACGAGCCCCTGTTAGCTCCGACCAATATTACCAAGAAAATACTCGCTTGTGTCGTTTTACTCAACTTGAGCATCATTATTACCGACTATAGTAATCGCCTCTTCAATCGCTTGAGTGAAGGTGGCAATCTTGTATGTGAAAAATCCAACTAGCATCGGAATCAGCTGTAGGTTCATCAATCCATATTCAGGAGCCACGATCCTGCAGAAACGAGAAATTTGTGCAACAACCAAGAATTAAGGCATCATTAATCAGTACACCAATGTCCCACAAAATTGCAACATGTACAGGGGTGTTTACTTGCAGCTTAATGAGCTTAATGATCTGGACGGCTAAATCACTTAGCCATACAAGAGTTTTTCTTACCAAATTTTTTATTAAGTCCTATATGGATAAATTTTTCTGTCCGGATAAACTTGTCTGTCTGGATAAATGGGTGGTGTTGTTTACTTTTTCATCTGAACCAACAGTCTGAATAACATAAATGACCGATTTACCCCCCAATATTAATTATTTGAACATCAAACAAAAAATCATAATGAGTCGGAAGATGATGTGTCTCATATGAGAAGGAGGTGGTGCTTTAAATAAAGGGTAGGGGTGTCATTTTTGTGGCTGAATGGGGACAACACACCATTTTTATCTGTGCGATTAAGCCATGTTCTGTGTGAATAAGCCGTAAGTAAACAACTCAAATATTGAGTTGTGCGAATAAGCCAGATAAACCAATAAGCCTAATTAAGCCGCAAGTAAACAGCCCCTTAATTGTCAAGTCATTAAGCCAAAATGGATATATGGAATAAGCCAGAACCCCTCACTTGTCCTTGTTAAGCCACCTCAAACAAATTAATGCTAGAAATGCATCAAAAATGATCCATCCCTCTCTCTTTGCCTGCATCAAACCCATCGGTCTCTCGTCCCTCAATCAGACTTGGGGGCCGTTTACTAAACACTTACTTTGGTAAGCGCTTACCGATTCAATTACCTTACCGGGTGACATAACAAGAACTGAAAAATCTCATTCGCTAAGAGGAAAGACAAGGATCAAGACTCTTACCCGTTAAGTGAGGATGATGACTCTTACCCGGGAAGCGCTTACCGGGTTATAAACGCTTACCATCAATCCATTTTGATGGCCAAGAATGTTACTGCGTAAGGTCAATTTGAGCGGTGACTCTTGCTGGTAAGCGCTTACCCGATAAGCACATGGTAAACGGCCCTTTAGGTAAACAGCCCCGTAGTTTAAATTAAAACATGTCTCATAAAAATCTCAATGTTGGACCCAACACATTGCTTAACAGAAATGTTTGATGATAAATCAAATGTCTAAATACCCTTAAATAATGACCAAATAGAACAAGTAGCATCGATAATTTGTAACGATCAACAATGAGTTTAACTCAGCATTAGCATCCTGAATCCAGCTTTGGTTGATTATATTATCATTTCATTGTCTATATCCCTTTCCCACAGCTGAAATTAACGAACCTAGAGGAAGGTACAACTTCTAATGCACGAAAGTACATGAGTGTGGCAATTTTTGCTCATGAAAAAGGATTTACTTTCAAATGAAAAATAATTTTATTTGAAGCTAGAAAGACTTACCCGTTCCACCGGTTGAAGATCATGACTAAGGCAACAGGGACCAATAACCGCGGCTGCCCAATTGCTGCCCTGCAAGTAGATCTCTGGTTAAGCATAAGTATTTATTATGAGCATACTACATTTTCTAATAAGCTGAATCACATAAAGAAAGCAAGTGCAAATTCCTAGATTCACTCCATCAAATGTCTAAAACATCCTTCAATCATGACCAAATAGAGATCTAGTGAATGAATAGAAATAAAACTAAACCAAACCAAACCGACCCAGTAAATCCCATTTGAAAGTAGGGTGTGGACGAGTGAGATGTACGCATACCTGACCTCTACCCCAAAGAATAGGGCTGAAGAAAAAGAACAACATCAATAAATTGTAACAATAATGGACAAATATGTAATTAAAGATAATATGAGCAGTCTTAATCACCTTTACAACCTGCGGTGTCACAACCTACTGCGTTATACATGACAAAACGATTGCCCTCTCAATCTCAAGAGGGCCCACTTTACAAATTAGGATGAATTTAAAGAATCTCCTTTGACAGTTCTACACTTGATTAAATCCAAAAGAGCATAATAACCCACTTTCTATCCAATGTTTACAAAAGGAAGGGTAAGTTAAGGACATCAAATTTGTCTTAACATTAAAAATTGGAAATGCAACTCTCTGTGGGACAAATAATCTTCCTTCCTTTTATGTGGCATGCTATTTACTAGCCTTGGTTCTTATTTCCTTTTCGCTCACACTTCTCTGAAATGTCCACTCTACCCTTCAAGATAAAGGTCAGGTCTGCATACATCCCACCCCCACCCTATTTTCGAGTGGGATATACTGGGTTTGTTTGGATTTTTGATGGGACAAAGAAACTTGTAAAGTCGAAATAAGTGGGTGAGAGGGGGAAATAACAAATAATACTCTTCCTTGTGTACTTGTAATAAAGGAGCAACAAGAAATCATTTATGCTTTGTGATTATAAAAAGTGTTTGCTTTTATTTACTATGAAGAAGGTGTCAATGATCAAACTTACCTCAATTGCATCCAATAATGTATCTGACTCGATTAGTAAGTGAACAGTATGCACAGAAATTGATGAGATATTAACAAACTTGAGACAATTGGCAACTCGATAAACAAGACAAAAGGAGAAAGAGACAAACTTACTTGATAACCCCTCGAGCTCCATCTGCCATTCCATCGATACTGTTCCCAAGCATGCGCATATATACCAGAGAACCAACCAATCCAGCCCCATAACTGAATACATATGATGAGCATCGAAATCAAACATCATCTCTTTAAATCATCAGGTTTGATATATGTACAAATATAAAGCCTAGATAGCGCCACCATATAAGTTAGTATCAGGAAAATTACATTTGTGCGCTTTCAAAAATACTAAGGTGGCCTCAGGTTCACATGATGTTTTCTTAAGAAATGGAATATGTTAAAGGAATTGGGATGGAATTTTATCAAGTTTCACCATGCATTTGGTTGGCAGGAATTGGAATGATACATGTCAAAGAATTGGAATCGGTCTGTTTGGTTTGCAGAATGTAGCTTCACCATTGAAAAGAAATAATGTTAAATGACCAAAATACCCTTTTATTCGGGTGTAGTACATATGCACACATATGAATGTGTGGTATAAGATAATGAAAAGATAAAAGTAAACAAGAAATGATCATCGAAGTATCTAAAACCATATCAAAATAATCCGAGTATTTATCACAAAACAGAAGGAACACCACACAGAAAAAACAGTCACCGCAAGCAAAAATTTTATAAATATACCTCTCTCCCATGAAAACTGCAGCAATTTTCATGTTGAGATGCTGATGAAATCCTAACATTTCCTTTATAGAAAGATTCCATATTAAAGTCGCCTATTTGCCCATGATCGTCAATACAAATCAGTGTTCTAAAATGCATTAAGCAAAGATAGGTGATCGAGTTACCTTCTGGTACTTGATCGCCTAACCAAGGATTAAGCGGACCCTTAAGCAGAAGAATGAACCGTTCATTTGAATATATAAAACATAATTACCTCTAGATTATTGAGCACGAGTATTAGAATTGTGAAACTATTTTATTTCATATTACCTTTTTCTAAATGACTACTTTCATTGATACAACTACACATAAGGGATTTGGAAGATCCCTTCCAACTTCCAAGTTGAGAAATAAGATGTCTAAAACTCAAAGTCAATTGAAGCGTTTTTTCTTTTCTTTTTGGGACGTAAAAATGGATGCATTGAAACCATAACTAAAATGACAAAAAAAAAGCCACTACATATCTCAACTTCATACATTCCACATCGAAAGCTTAAGCTATATCATTTTTCTAAATAAATGGGTACGTAATGGACCCAATATCCAATGTGAATAAGGCACGCTGATTCAAGTTTCGATGCTTCATGGTATAAAGCAATTTCTTTAGATGTCACCATAGACGACTTTTAAGAATCTAAGTTAAAATTGAGCACCTTAAAGTATCTACATCGAAATTCTGGCACAGAAGGAACAAAACATAGAAGGAATAACAAGAAAATACCAAATTCAAATGTGTAAGCAATAAAACATCCCTCAATTAAAAACAAGTAGTTAAAATTCACAATAGAAAAGGTGGGCATATGTATACAACAAGGGAAAAAAAGAATCTCCAAACTAAAAGACATTCCCACATGTTTGGATCAAGAAACACAGTTTTTCTTATACTAGAACCTGCAAATTAGCGAAGTTACCTTACTGTAATCTCTGGAGTATATGTAAAATAAGCTGACACCAACCCAACACCACCTATTCCAATTGTCAGAATCTGCAACTTGTTCTTCAACTGCAAATCCGGTTCGGATGGAGAATAGCGTCATTTTAAGTTTATAAACTCGTTGGTTGCTTTAACGAACTTGCATATATTGAAAATTATATAACCTTAAAATACTGTTCCCTTGACTTAGCAGCCAGCACTTTTGGGTCCCCTTTAGGACGTCTCAATTCCCTGAACATTACGTCCTATACACAAGAGGATTACAATCACAAATTTGAGGACATATTTATATAAATACTATTAGATAACCAAAAAGTGACTGAAGATGTTGAAGGTTCTAAAACTAGAAGTCCATGATCTGGAAGAGCCCCAAATGATTTGAACGACTTCCATCAAGCACATTTAAGTAACTTTTCAAGGACGAAGAACGAAAAGGTAAATGAGGAGGAAAAGAAGGCATACACTGCCTCCAGTTGCAGCTTTAGTAGCTCTATCCCACTTGTCTTGTTCACGTCGTGTGGGTGCTGGTCTCCACTTTTTGGGTAAGGTTTCGGTAGCCTAACATCATTTTACTCCCAGATGAAGTATCAAAATAAAACAATTCTAGGATACAATCAATGATAATTAGAAAAATAAGGAAAAAATGGCACTAATATCAATATGTGCATATTATCTTACTTGAACAGCCTCAACTTGCTTCTCTATGATTGGATTTGAAGTCGTTGTTAGCTCCTTGCTCAAGTCAACTTCCATACTATAAATCAAGATTATAATCATGTAAATAGATAAATGAAATGGTGAAATTAAAATGTGATTGAAATCAATAATTAGATGGGAGATTCATGCCTGTCAAGGCTCATGACTCGGTTTAAGCTCAGAAATCCAGATGGCTCTTCCTATTTATAAGCAAACACATTGCAACAGCAAAATACAGCATAATGAGATATACATACAAAACACCAAATTTCAAAGTTCCATTCAAGAACAAAAACACATACATATAAAGCAACCAAAACTCAAAAGCATTAATGTGTAACTCCCTTTTCTCATAAGGTCCACATTTGATTTTTGGCTGTCATATGACTAATGTTTTAAGTTTGAAATTGATGAAAACTAACATGGTTGTAGAGAAGGTACAATGAACTACATTTAACTCTCCATAAAAGATAATTACAGTTAGAAGTTTGGGGGCTACAAAAGTTTTTGCATTTATGCAAATTTTGAATTTAAGAAGAATAACATATGATCTGGAGGGGATGATATGTACGGGATGGGAACACTAATTGGCTTAGCTATTAGGCCCACACCATGGTGAATTCAAAGAGATTAATTGGTTTTTATTCTTTACTAAAGAGAAGTGGTTCATCAACAAGCATACTCATAACTAACATTGGTTTAACAATCATAAGATCAATTCTTAATGTACGATAAACCCATATATCCATTTGGTTCCTTTACATAACATATCATTTGTATTTGCTACTTTGATTTTACATTAATGTCAAAAAATGGAAGCAAACAACTTTTGAACCTGTATGATTTTGTACGTGAATATATATACACACACACACATATATATATATATATATATATGAATCATGTATGATTTTGTACGTGAATCATATATGATTTTGTACATTAACGACCTTTTTCTTGTTTTCTTAAATAGTTAGCGTTCTCGTTTGAACCTGTCCCTACATATATATGTATTATGTATATATATAATGATGTTACTGCAAAGTGGATAAAGGGATACTGCAGGTTCATGGCTTTTTCGTGAAATCTATCCATCATGCATTTACATCCTCAAGAGTTTCATCAATCAACTCATATCCATCTGATTCTCATCCAAATGGATGAATTACAGGCAAGATTTAAGTACCTTTATGCCTCAATAAATTCTATATAAGAAAAGGTCGTTTCTTGTGTACTAAAGCATAGACCATCATCAAGTAAAAAATGATGTAATTTGCATGATTATGAGAATTCACCTTTTGTTAAGGAATGCAAAGAGAAATCAAGTGTATCAGCCTGAACAGCAATAATATAAAATACATAAACAAGTCGAAATTAGGTTTACTGCAATGAAATTTTGATACCTTAACAGTAGATAAACGAGGGTCAGAGGAAGAATCATCAGAATCCCCAATCAAGCGTTTCATGTGAGGCATGAAATCTCTATTCCAAATTAAGTCACTGGAAGTGATAGGGTCTTCTTTTTCACCACCCCAGTACTTTCGGAGCTTGGTGGTGGTGGGTGGTCCGCCATAATCTCCGGGAGCAACGCCTGTGGACCATTTTTGGGGCTTTTTGCTGGGCAAGATGATCTTGGTGGGTAGAGTTGTGGATTGAAGGGAGTTGGAGTCCTGATTGATGGGTGTGGATGTGCACGTTACAGAGAGGTAGTGGCAGTTGATGGCAACCATTGTTGTTACTGCTTGGATGGGTTGTATTGGCCTTCTGGTCTTTGAAATATGAATGGAGGATCCAAAATATCTACTTCTTGTGAAAATGGGAAAAGAAATTGATGGACTTTTGTGGCGGATGAACAGAATCCACACGCACCAAATGGTGATTTTATCCGCGATATATGTATCTCTGGGTTAAATGTATCAAATAACACCCTATTTTCATAAATTTTTATTTTTTTATTATAATAACGTATTTTTAAATTATTTTTTATTATAACATTGTTTTTTAAAAAATTTACCTATAATAGCAATGGATAACATGTTACATTTTAAATCGGTTAACCCTTTAATTTTTTTTGTTTGTATGGTTTTAATAAGGTGATATGGATGACACATCATTTTGATGACTTAACTAAAATAAAAATAAAAATTCATTTCAAGTTATTATTAGTGATTTTCATTTTATATTGTTATAATCTAAAAAACATTTTATTTTACTTTTTTATTAAGTTGCATGCAAATTAAATATTTTATAGTAAATATTTCTTAAATAAATATTAAACATTATTGAGATATATTTTGTTTGTAAAAAAAGTAGCACTTCTTATTTTATGTTGTTCAAATAAATACATATCTTTTAAATTTATCTTTAAAATGTTAATGAAATAAATTGTGATATACAATTTTTTAATATTGTTATATTAATAAATAATTCGAAAAATCTAATTAATTTAATATATTTATACGTCAAGTAAATGTTTTTGAACAAATATAATATATTCTTTAAAATATATTATTTTTTGGTAAAAAATGAACAATTTTTTTTTCCCAAAAAACACATATTTAAAAAAAATATTARCDAGATAAKTTGTGTTCTACTAGTTTTATTGATATTGRTATATTAATGAATAATTTAGAATTTTTTAATTCATTTAATATATTTATTAAATAACATGTAAAATATCTAATTATTAAAATAAAAAATACAGTGTTTAATAAAAACTAGTAGATGCTATAATAAAATAATTTTTAAGTATAATGATGTAGTAAGAAAGTCACATCACTATAGTACATGTGGACAACCTACGTTGACAATGAAGTGGCATGGAAACCTGGTGTAATAGTTAAATTTAAATCAAAAGGTTACCCAATGCTATAATGGGTAAAATTTTCATAGTACAATGTCCTAATAAAAAATAGTTTGAAARTACATTGTTGTAATAAGAAAAACTGGAAGTACAATGTCATAATAAAAAAATTTATGAAAGTAGATTGCTATTTTGTGCATTTTGCCCTATCTATCTATACTAACTTATAAACAAGATTTCATAAAACTCTTAGAGCATCTCCAACCATCACAAAAAAAAAAAACAACCAAATCTGGTGGGCCCATAAACACTAAAAAAACTCAACTTCAATCACACTAAAAAAAACACCAAATTTGTAATATATATTATAATAATAAATAATTAGTAATTAATTTATTTAATGAAGAACTGTTAAAATAAAAACGACAAATTTTTAATTAATAAATTTTATATTAAAAAAGATTACATTAGTTCAAATAGCACAAATTAAAAAAACACATAAATTATACTAATTCACCGAGTTAGTATACTCGTCCCACAAATGATCAATTAATGCGTTATGAAGTTCAAAATGAGCATTTTTATCTTTGATCTTTTTTATGTCGAACAAGAAATTGTTCAAGTCCACCAACCATTGTTATCGTTCATCATCTCAACTCTCATGTCTTACACTTCACTTAGTTCTTCAATAGGTGCATTAATATCACGTTCATCTTCTATGATCATATTATGCATAATGATGCACGAAGTCATTATATCATGCAATATTTCATTCCTCCATAACCGTGCAGGTCCTGCTACTATTGTAAACCTTGATTGCAATACGCCAAATGCATGTTCTACGTCTTTTCTACATGCTTCTTGTTTCTTTGCAAAATATTGTTTTTTAGGGCCACGTGGATCGTGATAGATTGAACAAGAGTGGTCCATTTTGGATATATGTCATCAGCTAAATAATAACTCATATTATATGATTTTCTTTTGATATCATAATTAGCAGGAGGAGCATTACCTGCTGCAAGATTTTCAAAAAGATGAGAGGACTTCAACACATTAATGTCATTGTTGGACCCCGTTAAACCAAAGAAGATTTATCAAAAGCCTCATCGTCTGAATACGAATTATTAGCCATTTGAGTGGTATTTCTCAACAAAGAAGATTGCAAAGATAGTTGAGATATGGCTAGCGCCAGAGTTCAAGACCAAGCCAAAGGATCTCAGAACGTAGCAGGAAATTTAATCACTATATTGCTAACGGAAACCAGTGGACCCTTTAATTTATATATTTTAGTTTTCAAAATTTTCATTAATAAACTACATTTATGTTTATCCGGTATCATATTTGTATTAATATTATTAATAATTTATTATATATATATATATATATATACATATAAATTTACATAATAAATATAAAAATCAAAAATTAAATATTTGTATTATTTATTTATAATTTATCAAAAACAAAAATTGGAAGGATACTGGTGGGGACCACCTTTTTGGTGTCCCAAACCTGCACGGCAAATTTGCCGTTCAAATTAACCCTCCAGCAAATGGATAGTGATTTTGCCGTTCGATTGGTTCAAAGAAAACGGTAAATATAGGGTTTTGCCGTTTGATTGGAGATGCTCTTAAAACCAACATTAGATACATAAAGTATTAACTTTTGATGCATAAAGTCTTAAAGTTTTAAAATTCTAATGCATTGAGTAGTACAAATTTATGCATAAATTCTTGACAATGCTCAACAACCCATTGTGTTCCCAAGAGAATCTCATCACTCAATTTCTCAAAATAACGATTCACAATCTCCATCCATAACTAGGTTCGCTCTCTTTCCATCACTCTCCATCGATTCAAAGTCTCTCATCTCATCGATTCATCGCTCTCCATCTAGGTCATTTTTGTTTCCTCTTTTGTGTATTTCCTTTTCACTTTTGTTTATGCTTCTTTGGTCAACACCACGGTTGTTTCCTATATTGATTCACATACCTCCTTCTAATCCAGGTAATTAGGCGACCAGTTTCAATTCATGTATGATTTGTAGCTAAATATCCTAAAGATCAGCTGGCAAACTACAATTTTCACTTTTCTGTTTATGTTTTCTGCTGTCAAACTACAATGCAGTTTATGTTTCCAAAACCTACTCAAGAATCGATGTGCCTATTGAAATCGACAGTGGTACCAATTCCAATCTCAACATCTCTCAACGTCAATTGAAAACTCTCACGTTTCTTTCTCTGTATCTCCGATATCGATTTGACGGTGAGTCTTCACATCTTGAACAAAATCTCTTCTTCATATCGTTACTTCTTACTTTCACTTATCGAGATCGATAATGGTGGTTTAGGTTGCTTCTTACTGTTGCTTATCCAAGTCGACAGATGGTGTTCGTTTTCTAGTAGTTTAGGTTTGGTTTTTTTTTCCTGATTACTGGTTTTTGTTCTTCTTTTTCTCGAAAGTTATCATACTCTGTTTTTAATTCACTGTTGTTGGTGTCGCTGCATTTTGCCTTATTGATTTTGTTTTTGCTGTATTTGAGTGGATGTTGGTTTTCTTTTGATTTTGATATACCGTCCGGTGTTGGATCGAAGAGAAGGGATTTTCTTTGTCTATTGGTTTCTTAGTAATAAATCTTAATGAACTTTCGTTTCCATCTTCTTTATTGCTCTGTCTTCTCCATCACTATCTCAGGTAAGTTTTATCGATTTTTATCGGTTAATGATCGTGGCTTTTAAGCATGAATGAGTTGGCACCGTGCGATTAATAGTGAGTTCGTTATAACTTTTAATCATCTTTACGGAAAAGTGGTCCCCGAGTCAGATCCACCAAGCACTAAAGATGTCAAGCATTTATATGGGTTTTTGATAGAAGGTAAGTTTTGATGCCATCAAATTTATATTGTGATTGAAGTTTCGATCTTCTTTATGTATGAGATAATCGATGACCTTAGATGCGTGAGATTTCCAACTTTGTGCAGTACCAAACTTTTTGCTTTGACTGGAGCTCCAATGAGCATGAAGTGTGGAATTCCTAATTATGGAAGGTACTCTCAATTTGTATATACAACATTTTGAATCAACAAAAACATATCCATTGAACTTGTATTACAAAATAAGCTCAAGATTATCACCTATTTTTTGACCTCTTACAACTTGTGTTATGCAATTTTAAAGTATGACAGTAGTTTTAGAAGTAATCTCTGTACTCAGGTATCTTACTCTGTATTTTTTATCATTAAATGACACATGACGTCTCTTCTTTTTATCACTAAATTTTTGTAATAACATGAGAGGCTCCATCTACATCCAACCTTCTTTATGTATTATGCATTGGATGTTATGGTGACTTTCTTTTGAGTTGCTAGCTACTGTTTTGCTTCAACTCAAGCTGCTAATATACTCGAATTTTGTTGTCCAGATGTCAGGTTTGCAAGTGAAATAGTGGGAATGCAAGATCTTGGCATGTTGGGGGTGTGGAAGCAAAGAAGAAACTGGCACCTATGTTTATAAAGCTCATGATATTTGTCCTGTTGGAGCACTCACCTCGAAGCCATTTGCTTTTAATGCTTGGAACTTGGAGCTGAAAGGCACTGAGAGCATTGACGTTACTGATGTAGTTGGTATCAGAAGTAATGCACATTGTACCGTGCTTAAATGAGGTACCATCTTTTTCATTGTTATGTTCATAACAAATTTTGAAAGTCAGAGCTTAAATTCTTCATGGGGTTATTCATTCAATCCAACTCCAAGAAATCTATTGATGTGCCAATTGCTATTACGATACTAAGGAAATTTCTTCTAAAAGAACTGTTTAGGATAAAATCTTTATTTGGTTTAACCAGTAATTGCATGGAACAACCTGAATCTGAATAACTTGAAACTAATTAAACCAAACCTTATTTGGTTTGGTTACCTTGTAATTTGAAAATTAAACCAAACTGAATAACCAAAAATCAAAATAACTTACAAAATAAACTGAAAATCGAAATAACCTACCAACCTGGGATTGATAATTTTGTTGGATCATCGATAGAGTATTTTCATGATATGATCAGGTTGTTTTTTTTATCCAATAGAATGTGGATTCACGAGGCATCTTGATACAAGAAACATCGGCAAAACTCCTGTTACTTGCGCTCAGGGTACAGAGTTATTTTTTGTCTTTAGTTTAGCATGTGGATTCACGAGGCACTTTGGTACAAGAGATGTTGGCAAAATTCCTGTTACCCGCAATTAGGGTACATAGTTATTTTTTTTCTTCGGTTTGTAGATTTCGACGATCATTTTGGTTGTCTTTCTTACTTATGCGTTTGGGTAAATTGCTTTAAACATTGTATTTGACATTTTACAATTTCTGCCAATGGAACCACAAAAAGCAATCCTGCTTGTAAACTATGTTGTTGTGACGAGCACATGATTTATTCGGACCTTAATTTAAAGGGAATAAATTTAAACAAATTATCGGCCTTGATATTTCACAAAGACTGACATAGGGTGACTGTAAATTGCTGATATTGGGTGTAACTTTTGTTTGAGGACTAGATAGAATAGAACAATGGTTTTGTAAAACCTATTTTATGAAGCAAGTTTGTAACCCAGTACACATAATAATGCTTGGGATATTATAATAGAGAAGTTGTATTATCTCAAAAACTTGAATTTAATGAAGTCCAATTAGACCAATAGGAGTTTGGTGTGAATTTCTAGGAATCAAGGAGATTGTTTTTTTATATATTTCTCTGTGCCCGTCTCTTTTTATGTGGCTTACTTTTTACCCATTTGATTCTTCTTTATTTTTTGCTCACAACGTCGCTCTCCACAGGTGTTTATTTTTTGGTTCTTCTTATGGTTTAACGGCTTATTCACTCATCAAAACAAGTGATTTTTTTATGGCTTAATCATTAAACTATTAAGCTAAAATGGATATACACATTCCCTTTTTGGGAAGTTAGATATCCGTTTCGTTTTTTTTATTAACCTGAATATCCAATCCGGTATGCGAGCCGACTAATCCTAGGGCTACCACATGTTTTGCAGATGGCCCAGAGTCGCTGCATTTGAACCTCCGTGGCCACAAGATAATTTTTATTCGTTCTTGGATTTGAACCTATAATCCTCCATTTGGTTAGTGAAATAAAATCTATCTAGCTTACATATTTCTATGCAAAGCAAAAGTTAATTGAATCATTTATGAAAGGTACATTGTATCATTTAGGTTTAGATGCAAGGTCCTGTTTCTTGACGCGGTTTTAAAAGATTTAGTTGGTAGGGATGCGTTTAAATATATATAGAGGACGTTTAAGCTATGCTTGATAAAATAGCTGATAAGTTAATTGATGGCTGATAAGCTAGCTGATGAACTAATTATGTTAAGTAAAAACTAGCTAATAAGATAGTTGGAAAATATAAAAATAACAAAAAAGAGCGTGTTAAAAAATTAGTCAATTTCGACATTACATAATCTATACTATATTATAAACCATTTAATAAAAATTCTTAAAAATCATTTTTTATGTATAAAGTACTATTTATTGATGTATATTAATTACAATTCAAGATTATAAGTAATTTTGCGTAAGTACAACTTATTAAAACTCTATTTTTAAATTTGTGTAACTAACTGCAGATAAACCTAATCAAATACAAAATAAACATCAATTTTAAATATAGAAAATCTAATATATAATTAAGATAATCATTGAGTTCTAACATAATATTTGATTATTAACTTTATTAAAAATTATATTATTAAACAAAAAATAAAAAAATAAATTAAAGAAAATACAACAATTTTTTTTAAATAGTTAGTTTGATTCTAATATAAAAAAATCTTTCTTTTATGATATATCTTCATGTTTATATTTTATTCAAAAATAAAAACATTATCGTTTTCTCAAAACGACATAAAATTGTATTGTAACATCGACTGAGACAAAAAAATGTAACATTAAAATCGAGATATATCTCGCTACATTATTTGAGTATCCTTCTAGTATATTTAAAACAAATGACTAATAATATAATATGTTAATAATACAAACCAGATGAAAAAGAAAATTAAATATATAATATGTTAATTAATACAAACCAGATGAAAAACAAAATTAAATACTATAATATGTTAATAAAAGTAATTTCAAGTTGATTAATATATATATTATAAATTATTTGGATTTGTATAACTAAATATAAATTTTAGAAAGGGAAACTAATTAAAATAACCATTTTGAGTGGTTGATTTTACCTCTTAGCCATTTCTTTACATGGTTTACCAAAATAACCTTAGGTCCGTAATTTTTTTTTCCAGACCTATGTGAGAAATGTAATTTTTTTTGCAAACTTGGGTGAAAAATGTAATTTTATTTGCGGACTTAGGGCTATTTTGGTAAAGGAAATGGCTAGAAGGTGAAACCACTTGACTGAAATCACAATTTTGATTAATTTTTTTAAAAAAATATCTACATTAAATAATTATTTTAAATAACCATTACATATAAAAACAAAATTGGTCAACCTTACATATATTAATTAATTAATAATTTTTTCAAAAAAGATAATTGTTAAATTAAATACATTACTAAAATATTTATCAAAATTTTATTATTCCTGAAACAAAATAAATATAACTTTTCACTTTTATGTAATCCACAAAAAATATTTTTAAAATTGTTGTATTTGTTTTTGACGACAAAATATATCAAATAATGATTATATTGAATAACAATAACATAAAAATAATTGATAAGATTAATAACAACTCTAAGAGGCCGTTTACCTAAATACCTACCCAATAAGCTCTTATCGTTAGAAGTCAACACTATAATTTATTTTACCTGGTAAGATTATTGTATATCAAAATGGTATCATATACAATATCCGGTAAGCACCTACCCAGGTAAGAGTGGTCAGTTTCACTTACCGTGTAAGACTCCATCTTTATCATTGCTCTTTTTGGGTAAGATTTTTGACCATTGTTATGTTCATCTTATAAAAAAAATTTATCCAATAACCACTTACCAGATAAGCGTTTAATAAACGACCCCTAAATAACTAATAATTAATATTAAATAAATAATTAAATATTATATTTATTAATAATTAATATCTATTAATGAATAATATTAAACAAGATATAATTGCAAATTTATGACCAAAAGCTAATGGAGGTTAATGAAAGCTAACTTATAACGTTAATTTTTGCTATTCAAACATGACTTTTAAAATAAGTTTGATAATTAAGTTAACTTATATTTGTCAAACATGACTTTAACCAAACCCTCATGACACCCCCGAGAATTACAAAATTTCCATCATCGTCCATTTTGTAATAATCCGACACCCACGAGATTTACAATATTAATCAACAAAAGTAAGCTAGAATTTTTAGCGCAATCATAAATTGCATTAAAATAAAATCTAACTTTCATTTTAATCATATTTTAAAAATCATAAATCAATGCCCTAATTTTGGCAAATATAATTCAAAGCTCTCATGTGTTTAACAGTTGCTGAATGGTTTGGTGTAAAATGATTAAGTGGTCAGAATGATTAAGAGACTCTTATAATATAATACAAAATAAAATATAATTGTTTGGTAATTAGTGCTTAATGGTCAAGGAAGACCCAAGATACAAAATCATTCGGAAGGTTTTAAGACCATTAAGAGCTAGACTTTCTTTTGTCAAACAAGATTCACCTCTTAACGATTTACTCTTAATGAAAATATTAAGAGGTAAACAAAGATTCCGGAACATAAATATTGAATATTATCACTAGATTTGCAAATGGTTTTGAATCATGGTTCACATGCAGGAGAGATGAAGGGAGTACCTTATTCTTTAGAATAGACCCAAACACCATTCATCCAATCTTGATGAATCCTTAAGAAACCAGATGGGTATGCAATCTCTTCACTATTCTCAAATTTCACCAAGTAATCTGACCCAGTTTTCCCGCAGATCTTCCCAACCCACCACCCATCTTTGTCGTAGGCGTCAACCACGTCCAACGATGAAAAGCCAGTTACCAGAATCTCCGGCGGAAGCGGCCGGATCTGATCGGCGGATACAATCTCTCTTAAGGGCGCTGAACCATCGTCTTTGACGAGAGTTCTGTACTGGACGATGTAGTTTTGATCGGAAAGCCAAGCGATGATGTTTGCTTGGTAGTATGAACCCTGGAATCCCTCTTCCTTGTTTGAAATTTCCACTCGATCGCCTCTTCGAAACGCCATTGTTGCCGATAACGATGCTTTTTTCTGCAAATCCGTAACAGTAATGTAAAGTTCTGTGTGAATTCGATACCTGGATCTGAAATTTACTGCGATACAACTTCAAAACTCAAAGTGCGAGGGTTTTAATTTCGGAAATCTAGATCAACACAAGCCGATGAATAATAATAAATTCTTACCATAAAATCATATATGAATTCAGATTCAATCGATAATTATCAACAAAATTGATCGTCAATTACTTCCTTGTAATCATAATCGAATAATCATGCTTAAAATCTAAAGCATAATCGAACCAAACAGTCATGTAAGTAACTAAAAAATCGATAAAACAAACAGGATAGAAATAAGAATTACACACCTCTAGGAATGCTGGCGACCTTAACAGACGAATTCTTCTCAAGATCAATGTTCGTAGCGCCTGAAATGGTGGGTAATTTGTAGACTCTAGAATGTTCCCGAGATAGAGTTCAATGTCCGAAAAAGGGAGAATTTCCGCCAAATATCAATTTGTTTTCAATAAACTACGATTTTGGTCCTTTGACATTTAGGTGGCGTTTATTTTTTAAGAGGTGTTAAAGTCTGAAGTCTGAATTCACTTCTGAATTTTAAGAGGGGGTGCTGAAGTCTGAAATCTGAATCAGTCAGACTGTTTGTTTTTACGTCTGAAATCTGAAATCTAAAATTTGAATCAATAAGACTGTTTGTTTTTATAAACTGACAAACTTATGAAGTCTGAAATCTGAATCAATTCATTTCAATTAAATTTAACTGAAATATCTAATCATTTAAACCATTTGTAAACTACCATATATTTTTAACACATTCAAAAATTCAATTGAAATACGTCAATTGATTCAACACACAATAGAAAACACGAATAAAGTCTCATAACAACTAGAATCAATATTTGTTTTGCATTAATTGTGTCGCAATTTCTTCTCTTAAACTAGCCATATATGTTTGGTCAGCGGCACTCCCATGCGATTGAATCTCTTCAGCCTCATCCTCGTTATCGTTCTCTTGTTCGTTGGTTTGATCATACTTAGAAAATAGCTCATCACTTAAACCTTCCTTTCGTATGAAGTTGTGAACCGCAAAACATGCAATAACAACGTCTCTTTGAACCTCAAGTGTAAATGGTGCCATTCTTTTCAATATTGGAAAACGTGCTTTCAGGACGCCATAAGAGCGTTCAATAACATTTTTAAGTTTTGCATGAGAATGATTAAACTTTTCATACTTGTTCATTGCTCGTCGACGACGAAAGTCTCCGAGCCAATATCTAACATTACGATACGGCGCCATAAATCCTCGAGTATTTGTATACGTAGCATCACATAGGTAATATTTATCTGAAAACAATAAATAAAATGTTTGTTCAAATGAATATAGCAAATATATTACCTGTAAAATCAATAGTATACCTGAAGGAGGAAATGGAAATCCAATATCACCATCTGTTAAAGCTTCAGACAAAATTCTAGAATCATGCGCAATTCCTTCCCATCCGGCAACAACAAATGTGAAAACCATGTTGAAATCACAAATTGCTAAAACATTTTGATAACATTCACCCTTTCCTCGTCCTCTATATAGATGTTGCTCTTGAATAGGGACGATAGCATGTATTAAAGTTCTATCCAAGGCTCCAATTGCTCCCTACATTAAAGCTAAATAGTCAAAATAAATTTAGTAAGGAAAGTTATACAAATATTATTGAATTATTATTTACCTTAAATATTCGTCGTAACCTTCTATTATTCCTAGGGATGTCTGAATTAGGATTGAATGATGTAGGAACTATGATCTCTTTTGCAAACTCCATCATTTTATCCAACACTTCATGAAATTTTTTACGAATTGTTTGTGTTGAGTGCTGGAACCTGTTTTTCAACACTCTATAACGTTGATTATGACCTATAATCATTAGGAAGATAGCCATCTTTTCTTCGACCAATATATGTTTGCTATCCGTTAACCAACCTTTTGCTTTAAAGTAATCACATAATCGAATGAAAGTTTCACGAGACATTCGCAACAAGTCAATACATTGCCGATCACTACCTTCAAGTAGCTCATTCGTAAATTGACGTCCAGTCATTGCAGACATATTATCTCTTTTCCTTTTTAAACGCCTTTGTCGCAAGTAGAACATATATAAAAATACGACGATGAGAAGTATAGTTTTGTTATTACTATCCATGATAAACCTGTTAAAAACATAAATAAAATTAAAATATAATGAAACTTCAATATCAAACACATTACCAAATAACAACTTGTTCAACTTCCAAAACACATAACCAAGTAGTCAAATATCAAACATATAAGCAAATAACATGTTCAAATATAAAACGCACAACCAAGCCACTAGTTCAAATTCTAAAAACTAATCCATAAGTCCCATTCATCTTGCCGTCCTTGAAATCCATGATGCTAATATATCAGCATCTAAAGGGATCGTCAACCATGTCTCTCTTAATAACGTTGACTGCCCAAAAATGTCAATGGCTGCACTATAAAGAGGATCCCTTTTATCAAGGTCAAGAGTGTTCAACCRTTCCATACAAGCACTTAGGTTTGAGGCATTTTGTGTAACAAGYGTTTGAAGTGCACCCCTCATYTCTAGAGCCAATTCATCCATGTCGACCTTGGTTTTAMTCTTCTTCTTCGGTCTAGATGGAATTGTGCTYGCAATATTGACGGTTGGTCCTTCCTCCTCATCTCCATCCACCTCATTTTCAGTTTCTTGAGTAGTAGGGATATTGGATGTAAATGATGAAGATGAAATCGTAATCCTCTCACGGGTTGAACTAGGGGCATAAACACAAGATCCAATAGCAGAAGTCCCCTCGAACAAAGCTATACATAAGTCAGGGTATATCAATGGTGCTGTCTTTAATGTTCGTGCCTTTGGATGTCCCTGCATCCAAATTAAGTATTATTATTTATATAAAACTCGTGTTTTTGTCTATAATATCTAAAAAGGTAAAAAAGAATAAAAACTAACCTTGAAGAAATCTTCCCATTATTGATTAGTTAGGGTGAACGTATTCATTTCAGGGTCATAAATATTCCCTGTTTTATTCCTTAGGTACACCCATCCCGAATACTTTCCCTTCAAATAATCATATTGGTTTTTCAGTTGTTTCTAGGTGAGTTTTACATGGCAAACTTCYTCAAGTTTGGTTGCCACTTGCACCCAAGTCTCCTTGCGAAGACTACCTCCATTTCGACCCACCTTATGGACCTCTTCTATACAAGTCTCTAGAAACCGTTTGGTAAGTTCATTTGTCCACTTCACACGCACATTCTCATCCATGACTAAAATCAAGCAGAAAAAATAAAACACCTAAATCAACATTATAGTGTATTGCTCGTCGGTTTATTCAACCTTAGATTTCAACACAAAAATAGAACTCGGCGAAGTATACACCTTGAACTACTGTCGTCTCGTAACAAGTAATAATGGTATAAGTACCAGATATCGTTCCCACAGAGATAGCTTGTAAAGTTATTTCAAAAGTCCAGTTTATAAAAACTAGTTTCAGATGGCGAATCGAGGGATTTGATTTATCTAAAATTGGGAGGTTTGATTAACAACTAAGAAAAATATC